TATGCAAACTCCTTGCTTGTCGGCCTCCCCAACTCCTCCCTCCATAGGCTGCACATCATCCAGAACTCTGCAGCCCGTGTCCTCTCCTGCACTAGACTCCATGACCCTATCACCACCATGCTTGCCCAACTCCACTGGCTCAGAGGATACAGTTCAAGATCTTGGTCCTCACCTTCAAAGCCCTCAATGGCCTTGTTCCCCCCTACATCTGCGATCTCCTAACCCCCTACCGCCTCGCCTGCCCCACCATTGACGGGCAGGCCTTCTGCCACTCTGCCCCACCCACTGGAACTCCATTCCACAGTCCCTCCGTCTCGCCCTCTCCCTTGCCTCCTTCAAGACCCATCTGAAGACCCGCCTCTTCGACCATGCTTTTGATCACCCTGCTTCCCCCCCCCCCCCAGCCCGCCCTCTACCCTCCCCAATCCCAACCCCCAGCTCGGATCCGAAACACTGATTGTCCAGGGCCTTGGGACGACCTCCCAACGTGGCAAGCACTATATAAATGTAATTTTGTTGTTGTTGCATTCTATTCCAGACACAGGAAAGTTTCTATTTATAAGTACACAGAAAGCTTTTTAAAATTCTAACCATTTAAACAACTTTATAACTTGCTTTTTAGCTTTATTAACTTTATAACGTTTTATATATATTTGCTTACCCAATCGACAACAATTGTGAACAATTGGCTGCCACATTTCGTCTTACAATTCACATTACAATATATTGAAGTGCTTTGAGACATCTCAATGAGTGATAAGGCACTATATCAAAAGGATTATTATTATTATAACATACAGAATTTTTTCAAACAGCCGATTAACCTGTATAATTGTTTTGGCAGAGATGAGTGAAATCCGAACTCTAACAGGATTTCTTTATCAGGAAGTCATCAGTACAATCAATGCGACTCAACAGTACAATCAATGCGACTCAAAATTGCACCAACTCAATCTACTTTCAGAGTGTGATTTATCTAATGAAGCCATACTCAGTGTCCATTGGAGGTTATATTTTAAAAGCCTTTTTAAATAGCGTTCCAATGCATAAATTTCTGAGGATGGGGAGGAATGGGGGGCAAGTGTAATTATAAATTAAACTCCATCATGGGCCTTTGCCTTGTTCTCTTATAGCATGAAAGTAAAATTGCATTACACATCTTAGTTTGTAGTTCTATGATGTTGATGGACTGGGATAAGTGAATTTTGGAGTTATCTTCAAAATAGGTAGGTAGATTATAAAATGGTTGATGGATTGTTTGATATGTCAACAATAGTAAGTGCCTGAAAAACATTTTAGTTCCGAAATTCATCTGTCATCATTGGATTACCAAATTCTAGGAATATCTTGCGTGCACATCCTGAAATTCAATTATAGGTATTGAGTTTTCCCTTGGCATATGTCTGTCAGATTGCTTTCTGTCACTTAATATTCAGTTGCCTCAAGGAAAAAGCTGCTGCGGTTAACTGCAGCCTCAAATTTAGAAGATGATGTAAAGTCTGAAGTCCATAGGCACTCCTTGCTTGGCACAACCAACTTATCATCCAGGGTATATGATCCAGCATTCATAGATGGAAAGCACGATAGCACAAAACTTTCATTTTATGTGTGTGACATATTGGCCTCAGCAATTGTTCATGGAAATGATTTCCAGTCTTTCATTTGTGAATCAATGTTTCAGAATTGTTTTCACTTAATTTATTTTTAAGATATTTCCAGCCCCCCCCCCCCCCCCCGCACCTAAACAAAACACAACCAATAATGGACTATTTTTGAATCTACATGTTTATAATCAATGTCCCCACTGAACGATATCAACTGAGGTGGATTTCTGCAAAGACAGGGCAATACAATTTGTATTCAATGTGGTTATACTGCATTTGGTGTCAGCCTGGTTCAGTTCATAGCACACTCATCTGAAGGTTATCATTCAAGACCACATTGGAACTTTGAGCTCACAGTCGAAGCTGACATTTCAGTAACACGTTGGGCAGGTTTCTTTACTCCACACGTCTCTGTTTACCTAGCAGTAAATAGAAACCTGGTTGTTAGTCAATCGGCGGATCACTTTTCTGGGGATAATAATTCCTTAAAAAAAATTTGGTCACTCAATCCATGACTGTTTGTGGGACACTGTTCTATGCAATTGGCAGCTGCCACATTTCGCCCACAAAATGTACAGTCAATTCACTTTACAGTATATTTTGTGAAGCTCTTTGAGACATCTCGAAGATGTGATAAGGCGCTATATAAAATGGAAGGATTATTATTATTATTGGGGGTGTGCTGCATTGTTGGAAGTACTGTTCTTCAGATGAAACGTCCCATCTGCCTGTATAGGTCAAAATTAAATGCCTCTTAGCATTTTTTGAAAAGAGAAGGGAGTTTCTCCCCGTGACATGACCAGCAATTTTCCAGATAACATTGATCATTCATTTCACACTGTTTGTGGGACATTGCTAATCGCAAACTGAATCGTTCACTTACAAAATAGTGTCATTACAGTAAATCCTGTGAAATGCTTTAAGATGTCTCGTAAACTTGATAAGGCATGATATTAAATATTGTTTTTTTATTTACTTTACCCCCTATTGCATGCAACATAAATTCTAATATTCGGTACAAACAGTAGCAAAAGCTGCTGACAGTGAAAGATATGTCTTCCAGTTAGGTTTGGTTATATTTCTATTGTCACCAAATTCAATCATTGGTGCAAGTCCAAACCAGGTTTCCTGTGTGAACCTTAAGCACTCTGGCATTCTTGACGTGAGTTTGGTGGTTTCTAAGCACCGGAAGGACGCAATGTCCACAAATACAAAATCCTTGCGTTTCCACTAGGTACAGGAAGGCCTGTCAGAACATGTTAAGATTTGTAAAGTGAAGCGTCTGGTTTTAATCTACTATAACTTGGTAAGATCTGAAAATTGGTGTAGCTAAGTAGGATAGTAACACCCAAAGGTATCCTCGCCACAGATGTAAATAATAATAAATATAATAATTATCCTTGCATTTGATAGAGTGCCTTATCATGTCGTTGAGAGCCTCAAAGTGCTTCACAGGATTTACTGTAAAGTGATGTGACTGTATAATTTGTATTGTCTAAGATGAACTAAGAATTCACTTGGAGGTTTTTTATGAGATCTATTTAACTTGTAACGTGTAGGAAATTGATTTAGAAAACCAGTTGTTGATGATGGACTCCACACTGAAAACTCTATAATCCTAATTATACATTCATTGAAGTTGGCATATTGGTTTCTCAGCCACAAGCGAAGGACCTATTTGAGGCTTTGGTTTAGTGACTGATATACATCAGATCAAAAAGGCTGCCCCTGCACATCGCTGCACTATACCTGGAATTTACTGGACTTTGTTTATTGTTTCAGATGTTAAAACAACAGTTATGTTGGTTAACACCGTAAGCCCAAATACAGTACTTTCAGATCTACATTATGAACATTCTTAAAATGGAGATGCCATATAATTACATTTGCATTATAAATTTAACAATGTTGCATACCCAAAAAGACATTCTTCAATCATTTTCATTTCTACCGAATCTCCATTTTTCTCCAAGTCATGCAGAGCTAATTTTAAAATAAGAATTTTGCCAGAGGAAATATGTGGTGTTTTACCTTTCCCTTAAGTCCTAAAGGTGTCAGGACCAAGGAGGGGTTGTTACTCCATAATATCTTTCCTCTGCATGTTTTTAAATACTCATAATTGACAGCTAGCTCTGACAATTAAATCCCGATAATCCTGGAGAAGCTCTTCTGAATGTTTCCTTTTACTCCCCTATTTACAATCTTGAAATCTTGCCTCAGATCCCTCACCAGTGGAAAGAGTTTCTCCACAATTAATTTTCTCACACCCTGTCATTTTCTGAAACACCTTCATCATCTCACCCTCACCCTTCTTTGCTCAAAAATAGGACTCCTAATGTCTGTCTTATAGATTTATCATTTTATCTCTGATATCATGCTCATAACCATTATTGGTCCCTCTATATTACCCTTTCTGTAATGCGAACCCAGAAATGCGCACAAAATTTCACCTGCATCCTAACCCTGTTACTAGCGATAATTAAAACTCCCCCATCAAATTAATAGCTGTCCATCGTGGCACAGTTTAAGTATTTATTTCATACTGTTTTAAAGCCAAACTGAATATGAAAGTAAACTTCTCATCTATAGTGGTTTCACTTACCCTCTTCCTCCACAAACCATATCTCTTTCATAAGCAGGGATGGTTAAATGTGAAATTGCAAACCAATTTTGTGATCTGTAATTGAGAAGCAAATCCTGGCAAACAAGTTCTGTAGTTTGACCCACCTTTATACTCCACCTGAGACCCCATCTCCTGTGACCCTCTATTCTCCCACTTGTACACAAGGTTCCTCTTAAATACGGTGATGCTCTTTGCTTCAACCACAGTTTCCAGCAATTAATTCCACCACCCTCTGTAAAAAAAAGTTCTTCCTAGACTCCCCTTAGATCTGCTACTGGTTATCTTATGTCAATTCAAAATATTTGTGTTTGTATGTAATGTTTTTTAATGATGTGTAAATTAGATGAAATCAAATTGATGCTGGATGCTTGGACGAGTTATTCCTTTGGTTCTTTTTTTACACCTTCCTCCCTCCCGCACATCTCCTTCCTGCCAATCTCTCTCCCCCATCCCAATCTCCTTCCCAATCCCCACACACTCTTTCCCAATTTTCCTATCATCTCCTAGTTTCTCTTTCAGATCTTGCTCCGACTCTGTATTTGTTTGTAAAGCATTGTGAGTAGTTCAGCCTAACTAAAAGGCACTTTATACAAGTGTAAATGGTTGCTCAATTCTTTGCTTGCTTTGCTGTAAAAGTCAGAACTAAAATCCCAACCTGTAATAAAGTTGTAAAATTAAGCAATAAACTGAAACTCGAGTTCAATTAAGAAAGTGAAGGTGACTTTCTGATTGTATATGGAATATTGTACTTAAATTCTTCTTCTTCAAAATAGGTCATTACTACAACAAAAATCACTGAAGCATCACTTTATTCTGACATGGAAGGATCTGCTATAGATGAGGATACTGATGACATTTATTCTGGTTCTGGCTCTGGATCAGGTTCTGGTGGTGAGTTCATGTTGTTTTACATTATTTCAACTGCGTGCATCCATTCTGAATGTGCAAATGTTACAATTTGGAAACAAGCTATCAAAGATAAAGTAGTAATAATAATAAAACTAATAATAATACTTGTATTTGATATAGCGCCTTATCATGTCTTCAACATATCTCAAAACGCTTCACAGAATATACCGTAAAGTGTAGTACCAATATATTTTCTATTAAAATATTGTACACTCTGAAAAAACTTGAGAGTTTTGAAAATAAAAACAGGTCAGCATCTGAAAGTGAAAGATAAGGTTAAGTTTTTGGTCTAATCCATATTTGTTCTTCAGATAAGAACTGCACTGGTTTTGCATTTTTTGGTTTTTAATGAGTTCAAACCCCAGGCCAAGACTTTGAGCTCATATAGTCAAGGCTAACACTCCAATGCAATGCTGGGAACTACTGCATTGCTGGTGTTGCTGTCCTTTGGCTGAGACGTTAAATCGAGGTCCTGTCTATCTGTTCAGGTTTAATGTTGAAGATCCCATGGGACTATATGAAAATTTCTCCTGGTGTCCTGTCCAACAATCCCTCAAACTTACTTTGCAGTTGTGTGTGGGACACTGTCATGCGCAAATTGACAACTGCGTTTGCCTTCAGATGCAGTTACAACACTTTACAATAAATCCTGTAAACTGCTTTGATACATCTTCTGAAATGAAAGCGTTTATATCAAATGCAAGGGTTATTATCGAATTTGTTCTCTTTATATCCTGTTTTAGACGGACTGATTTTTCTACCTTATGAAAAGAAGACATCAGCGCCAGTATTGCAAGTGTTTTCCTCACCGACTCCAAGCGGTTTGCAATCAACAAGCAAAGTGTCCTTCACCACAAGCTCAAGTGAAGTTACTACAGAAGCAACCGTAGTCTATATCAAACCAGCACCCAGGCACAATACTAAACCACCTGTGGAAATCCTAGTGACTGAACACACCACCATGTTGCCACCATCTACCATGTTGCCTGTCATTGTCCCAGATAGCAGTGAAGAAACCGTTACTGCCTTTGCTCCTTATGTGTCAGCTATCCTTTCACGTGCTTCTACAACTGCACCTGACCATTCTCTAACCACTACTTCCAACATTGGAGCTGACATCGCCATAAACTCTCGGGAACTTTTTTCTTCAATTGTGCCAAAGACAACTTCAGTGAGTGAAGTTACCAGTGTAGATGATAACGTGAAAGGAAAAGTAGATCTAATTGAAAAGGTAAGTTCTTACACTAAGAACAATTGTAGAGCAAATTGAGTTATAGCATGTGGTTGATTTAGACCCATCTTAAAACGTATCTTTTTGACTTTTGGTATCTCTTTTGGTCATCTTTTCCTTCCCCATTCCCCCTCAGTTCTCACCCCCAGCTTGGCTTCACAGCCAGCAGGGTCAAACTCTTTTGAGACGTCCTCCCGATTGGAAAAGGTGTAATATAAAAGTAAATTGTATTATAATTGTGTTGGTTTCAGGAATTTCTCACCAGTTAATTTTCCTGCTTTATGGAGTTTTAGAATCATACAAACTATGCTGCTGCTAGCTTCTCTACTGGAGCTGTATTGCCTACTTTCTTTGGTAACTTTTCAGATTCTCAACTTGTTTTGGCATCTCCCCACTGCGAGAATAATACTGATCTGGTATCATCTGCAAGTGGACTTTTGATCAAATCTACTAAGTTGTGCTATAGTGCAAAATTACTATTACCAAATTATTCAGAATAGCTTAACTTTACAAAACCTAGGCACTGCATATATTCTTATTCTTATCAACTACCTTTTTGCCCAATGTATTGTATTGCATAATCTTGTACTAATGGGACAAAATTAGTGGATAAAGACTCTAATAATTTATTTTCTAAGTGGTATCTTATGAATTGGTTTCTTTTTCATTTTGAATTGGGAGTTATGCAATGAATTGCCATATTGGTCTAATACAATATAATTTACATTTATAAGGGATGGCGGGGGGGAATGATGGGGATATACTGAAACCTGTCTGTTCTTCGTAAGAAAAAATTCCAACTATGTGTAGGGCATGCATACTTTAGCAAGTTCTTAAATGTTGACGCTGGTTTTCTGTGGATTTTATTTAAAATAAGTAAATTTCCAGAAATTGCCAAATTCTGCATAGTGATAAGAACTGGTGTATATGGACCCAGATGGAATTTCTCCTCAAGTAAACATGTTTTAAATGCTTCAAAGAAAATTATAAAATATTGGAATATATGACAGCAAGCATGGCTTTAGAAGGCATATATCTCATCTGACTCAGACATTTATAAAGTGACATCCCAATTTGACAATGATATGATCTAGTGTCCCTGGATTTTTGTATCTGGATTTCTAAAAGGTCTGTGACAAGTACTATGCAAGAACCTCTTTTACATTTTGGTAAGCATTTGAAATCATGCTATATAAATGCAAGTTGTTATTTTTCTAGTTGTTAGCCTGAATTCTTGCACACTGTAAGCATCGGTTGCATAATGATTACACAATCAGCCTTGCATGTGACTAAAATGGTTGGTTTCTTTAGGAAACTGGGAACGAGATTGAAAAGAACGAACCTGAGATTTACTTCCCCAATGAGCGCAAAATCGTCCAGAAACAAGAGACTCCAGTAGGGGCAAATTCAGATGCTAATAAGATGTCCGAGATGAGCAATTCTAAGAGTTTCCTGGAAAGAGGCGAAATAGTGGCAGGTACGATTTGTACATTTCTTAAGAGTATACTGCTATTTTTGCATGTTGCATAACTTTCTATTGAAAGCAATGATTGGCAAGCTTTCCTGTTGCTTGTCCAGTTAGGACTACCCTATCTGTTAAGAGTTTGGCTTGCAGGGATAACAGAAGATGAGCCAAGCTGGCTGGTCTATCATCACCAGTACCCTAGAGTATTCCGACCCGCCTGGCTCAGCAATCAGTGACCACCACCAAGGATTGACTTGATTCTGACATTGAATTGCCAAGCATGTTACCTTGATGTCTTCTCAGCTTCCAGAAAACCCTCTTACCCACCCCATTACCACCACCTAAGGTGCTTTATTGGCAATGCACATTACTGTTCAGCTATACTTGCGGTGGCCAACGTTTTTGCTTGGCCAACAAAATAATCATGGAAATAATAAAATAGCACAGCTTTTGGCCATAAATCAAAAAATATTCAATCAAGAAACATTTATTTTGTTGGCCACCACTGAGCTGTATGTTTCCAAAAGTAGTGCAGTCTTCAACTGACTTAAGGAAGATTTAGAGTAGTGAAGTGTTAACTGATCCTTTCTGAGAGATTCGATTTAGTCGATATTTATCCTTTCTTCCCTTTATCTTCATCATTTAGCTGTTGTTGCTGGAGGAGCTGTGGGCCTCATCCTTGCTGTTCTGCTAGTGGTGCTGTTGGTGTATCGAATGAAGAAAAAGGATGAAGGAACCTATACACTGGAGGAAACGAAGCAGCCAAATGGAGGCTACCAGAAGCCAGTCAAACAGGAGGAATTCTATGCATAAGAAACACAACTTTTGACTGTCCTAAATCATTCTCTCCAAAGTCATGATTTATGTTTGCCTGAATTAGAAACTGATTAATATCAGATTAATATCCATCTGTACCCTGGCTCCTTGACCAATTTAACACACCTTTTTTTGGAACAAACAGGAGTAACTTAGGTTTGTGTTTATTAGGATTTCTGCTATTTTGTTTCATGAAAAGGCAGAACACGATTAGATCTACCACCCCGTCCCCTCCCCCAAGCACAATCAACAAATAACACTGCCTTGTAAAATATTTGGACTCCTTTTTAACAGAAAAAAATGACCAATTTTGTATCCTAAAAGTCACAAACTACTAAATATCTATAAATTTCTATATTGTATTATAACCAAACAAGAAAGGGATGCAGCAATTTGGCTGTATTTGGCCTTTTTACTATTGTGATTTAAATGTGTTTGCCTGTTTCACTTTGTCTACCTAGTACAGATTTAAGGATTTTCCTTTGCTTGGCTACAGAAACTTTCTACCATCGGAGTGGAGCTTGTTAGTAAATGTGCTTGTATTAAGAAAAAGTCCTGGAATGTTCATGTTTTCAACATCCTCTAAGTTTGATGATGCTTTATAGTGCTTGAAGGATCAATGGGTAAAATCTTTGTTCTACTTGCTAAATACAAGAATCAAAAAGGGGAGCAGTTAAATGCAGTTTTAATGCATTGTATATTTTGGAATAAATCAAGGACAATAAGGGGCTTTGTCTATTTCCAGTGTTGACAATTACCCTTTTACACTGTAATTGATTGCAGAGCACTTGAGATTGGTCCCTTTTTACAGAGCTGGGCCTCTGAATTTGTGTAAGATTTGGTTTACTTGGATATTTTCTTACACAGGAAGTCATTTTGTGTGTGCATTTATGTTGGCCTTTCTACTTATATTTGTGACTTACCTTAATAACAAAATGCAGTTGATCCTTTCTCAGCTTGCATTTTAAATTGAGAATATACCTAAATATCTAAAGCTTACATTGCATGCACTATACAGATTTCGAAAGGTAATACAACAAACACTAGTGGAAAGGAGTAACTTATTGAATGTGATTTGTGTAATCCAGGCAAAAATTGCTGCACCTTTTTATATTCATGCACCATTTAAAAACACTTTCAAAACTCTTATTTTGTTGTTTTACTTCAGAGATATCGTACAGTGTTAAATATAAACACTGGGTTTGTTTTCTGGGGGAGAAATCCCATTTTAGTCCAGATTTATTCAATTTATGTAGCATTTAAGAGGCACCAGAAGTTTGCAAATTCGTAAGCATAGAATTTGTTAGAAGCTGTTTTTTTGTAAATTCTTTTAGGAGAACCTGCAGAAAATCTATTTTGGATTCAGACAGAATTAAACAATTTGCCAAATTCTCCATGCTCTGAAATGCCAAGAAAATAGAGTCAATCTGGACCAGTGGTGGCCAAGCTCTTTGGTTGGCTAACAAAATATATGTTTCTTGATTGACTATTTGTTGATTTATGGCATAAATCTATGCTATTTTATTATTTCTATCATGATTTTGTTGGCCGACCAAAAAGGCCATAAATCCAATCTAAACCCAGGTCAAATTTCTCCTCAAAGTTGTACTTTTCAAAGGCTCTGAATTTATTGAAGCTGAAAGGCTGTATAAATTAAGTCACTGTTTGGGACGTCCTCCCGACGTGAAAGGCGCTCTATAAATGGAATCTTGTTGTTGTTGTAGCTGTGCATCATGCTCTGTCTTTGAATTTATGCAATTTCAAAAGTATATAATGAGTTAAATGGAAATCTAAAAGTTTAAGCATTAATTACACCAAAAAATCAAGTTCTCGGGACCAGTTGTATGNTTTTTTAACACATCTAAAGTTGTTAAAGTTTGTAAGTTTTGTATCGTAGTTCTAGTGGTTAAGTTGTATCTGAAACCATTTTGTTCAGCAAATAGATCTAGTTATCAAGATATTGGTTGCCAGAACAGAACAAAAGTGAGTCGGTGACTATTTTTGTGAATGTTTAAAAACTTTTCGTCCCGAGCTTTCATTGATAACTTTCTATTTATTGTGCCATTTCCATACCTAACTTCCAATAAATGAACATTGATGCAGTAACTCACGTTGCAATTGTCTTTTTTAATGTAGTAAAGCCACTGAGTCGCTACATTTTGATTATTGTGGAGTCCTGTAGCTCAGTGGTTAGAGCAATCGCCTCGCAAGCAAGAGACCTGGGTTTGATTCCCGGTAAGTCGAATTGTTGGGCAAGTTTCTTTACTCCACACGCGTCTGTTTACCTAGCAGTAAGTAGGAACCCAGTTGTTAGTCGATTGGTGGATCACTTTTCCGGGGGTAATAATTCCTTCAAAATATACTAATAATAATTTGGTCACTCAATACACGACTGCTTGTGGGACATTGCTGTATGAAATTGGCTGCTGCGTTTCGCCCACAAAATATACAGTCTTTACAATATATTCTGTGAAGCGCTTTGAGATGTCTCAACGATGTGAAAAGACGCTATATCAAATACGAGAATTATTATTATTACAGTATACACTACATTTCCTTTCCAAATCTGGAAACTACTTCTGGGTTGTTCTTCACACTTTGTTTTAAACTGGAACTGGTAAATATCATACCTGGGCTGTCTCTTAACAGTGATAGAAAGGGACACGGGGCAGCGAACCCCAGAGAGGGATTATGGTTGCCCGGCTCCACTGGCTCCCCATCCCCCAGAGGAGAGAGTTCAAAATCCTCGTCCTCAGCTTCTAAACCCTCCACGGCCTTGCTCCTTCCTAACTCAGTATCGATCTATCTGGTTCTTCCGCTCAGTGGGCTCTGACCTGCTCCATGTCCTCCATCCAGCTCGTCCATCCCACCATCGGCTGCCGGGCCTCTCTGGTCCCACCCATTGGAACTCCATCCCACAGTCCCTTCACCTCACTCCCTCCCTTGCCTCCTTCAAGGCACATCTCAAGACCCTTCTCTTCGACCGCGTCTTCAGTCACCCTCCTACCTTTACCCTCCGTGCCCTCCAACACTCCTGACCCCAACCCCCAACTCAGGTCCAATATCCCTGACTGTCCAGCGCTTTGGGACATCCTCCCAACGTGAATGGCGCTAATACAATTGTAATGTGTTGTTGTTGTTGGGAAGTGAGCCCCAGAGAGGGGGTGTGGGGCAGTGAATATCATTAAAGCGAATCCCTCATTAGATGATGTACAAGATTTTGGGAGTAACAGTGCAGTTTATTTACTTCACTCATCAGGATGTTGAGAAAGCTGGAATCTATGGTTAAATATCTATACTTTGAGATGTGTGGTATATCAGAACTCTCTTACAAAATCAAAAATATCCTATAATACATCGTCAGGAAGAATTCAAGAAGCTCAACAAAGGGCACTATTGAAGGGATATAATCAGTAAATCCTTGTGTACATGGACAAGATTACACCTGTCTACAGTTATCTGATAGAACTAATTATTTGTTTCCACCATGATTCACGCTTGACTCTTGTTCTGCAGCTCCTTAGTTTAAATGACTTTCAAGTGACCAGTCAGTCTATTAGTCAGTTTGAGTTGATCAGTAGGCTAGTGTTCTGCTATTCATTACATTTATGTTCAGTATGAAATCTTATTTAATTCACAAGATTGTTTAAGAATTACAAAGTAATTTTTTTTCAATAGATACTTTTCTGTTGTACTGTAAAATCAAAATGTGTGTAACAACACCTACATAGGCTTAGCAGACGAACGTAATCTCCACCTTTGATATCTCTAACAGACAGATTCATGCTGCAATAGGTCAAAAGCACTATCCTGCAAATCTTTATAGTGAAGCTATGTAGGATGTCACCCCTTTCACTCCTATCAGGCTACAAAGATGGAAAGAAGCTTTGAGAGTTTGTGATTCATACATATATCATGTATAAGAAATGGAGAATAGACTTCCAGATGCCTGGTTGAGTTTTATATCCATGCAGAGCTTAGACTGCATAATTTTACGCTAGTTAAACATTACTATGACCATTGCTCTCCCTTTCAGCAATGACCTCAGGCTGGCAGGAAGCCTAACCAAGATAAAGTTGCACCTTACATTTATTTTGAACTTTGTTCACCATTCAGTTGTTGAACAATGCAATTAATGTAGACTGAATCAAATAATGGCAGGACAGATCAAACACTGTTTGTTATTAAACACATGAAAGCAATTCGCCGGCATAAACCCCACCACTACCTGAATTTTCTTAAAGTCATAGCCTTAGGGACATTATTTTATTATAATAATAAAATACTTAATTCAATGTTAATTTGGAAGCTGTTCTTTAAAAAAAATATGCAGGTCTGATTTAACACTGAATTTAAGAACTTTCCAAAATTAAAAGTAAAATGTTGGGGTCTGACATAGGCGGAAACCAATCCCCATGCTTGAAAGTATCCAAACCAAGCTGAAAATGGCATATATCCCCCTTACACATGGGAATTCCAGAGATAGATATTTACTTTCTGGAAAGCATTAGGCACAGGTTTGCATGAGCCAAGGCTTGGGGACCCCAGAATGTGCGTTGGGGTACTGCTGGAGTCTAACCAGCTAAAATCGCACAGCTTGCCATTGATAGCACTGTCTGGCAAACTTTCCTGCTGCTTGTCCAACTGGGACCACCCTACTCTTTAGGGTTTTGGGTTGCAGGGTTAATAGGAGCTGAGTGGGATGACTCCCTGCCCCCAGTGACTGGTCTGCCCTATCAAGTACTACCAATGTGCCAGGATGGCGATACTGTCATCAGCAGTGCCCTGGAATACTGCGGACCTGTCTGGCTTAGGAACGTGACTTCTGAGACCTCCACAGTGGGCTGGCTCAATTTTTAAAGCTATGATCTTATGGCTTCAGGCTTATGATCTTTCTGAATATATCGGGCTTCTAATTTGGCATCATACATATGATTCTGAAGGCAGCAATTTCAGATTATTTATCTATAAAATAAGTAAGTTAGTGTTTTCAAGTCAGACCCAGCAACATGGGTACTGTAGATTTTAATGGACCCATAATCATTGCACTTTGATATTGTGCTCATAACATTGAGAATGTCTCAAGGCACTTCGCAACATTACTGTGAAGTGTAGTGACTTTGCATTTGTCGGCAAATACTGCAGTAATATCTGTAACTCTGATCTGCCTCTAATTGCACCCACTTCCTGCTGTTAACCATTTGTTTTGTAAATAATGCAGATTTCATTGCCACTAAAATTACAATGATCACTGTTTCTGAGTATGAAAACTTGCCTCTATGTTTGGTCAGATTACAATCAGGAGTGGCCAGTTTCAAGATACCATTCAGATGTATTTAAATTATTCTGATAACGAATAGAGATATGAATAATAATGTGTCTGTAAAATAGTATTTGTGGGACTATTTTCATGTGTTTTCTTACAGAATTGGAAACTGATATCAAAGGTTGTATTCATTGTATTAACTGCAAATGTGGTATCCAACTGTAAGTGAACTAGTTTGAATGAAGGGGAATACCAGCTTTGAATAACACAAAATAGATTGGGGGGTGGGCAGATCCTTCACCTTATTGCAATTTTTTTAACTTCTGCAACATATTCTACGCTGGGTTGCAAAAGAGAATCAAAGTCTTCATCTTTCTTTTGCTTCTGAGCCCTTGTGTTATTCGAATGTTTTCTCCTGTTCAGCATTTCTTTGTGTACAAACTTCTGAGCTTCCACCATTTCCGCTTGATCCTGGAAATGTGTAAGAGCAACTAATGGGACTATGGAGACCACTTGCCAATCAGAATTCCTGAGATTGGGAATGTCGTAGCTACTAGCGAGACTTCACATCTTTTCACTCTGGCCATTACCTGTTGCTGGTCAAATATGATGTGTTTTCATGCAGCAGTACAAATTGAAACATAGGTGGGGCATGTCTGTGTCATTACTGCCTCTTTATATACATGACATTTTTAAAATTATTTCCACTTTCCAAACTTCTTCCTTAATGTATTGGGGTGGACACATTCCACAAACATTTTAAAATGTCCCACAAAGAGAAATCAAATAAAACTCCATAATATTCAACCATCCCTACTTTTCAACCATCCACTCCAAAGCTTTGCGATTCTCTTCCAGAAGCCCAGTATAACACCGAATAAGAGCCCTTAGTTCTGCAATCATCCTTGTCACTTTTCTATGAAGTTCTTCCAAACGCATCAATGCCTTTCTGAATGTAAATTGCCAAAAACACATAACACAATCTTTCCCAATTCCACCACTGCCTCAACCTCTAAGGCTGCCAAAAACCCTCATACATGCGTTCGTCACATCAAGGCTTGACTACGGAAACTCCCTCCTTTTTGGCCTCCACAAGCTGCAGATCATCCAGAACTCTGCAGCTCGTGTGCTCTCCCGCACCAGGCTCCATGAACCATGAACCCATCACCTCCATGCCCAGCTCCACTGGCTCCCCATCCCTCAGGGGACAGTATTAAAATTCTCACACTCACTTTCAAGGCCCTTCAAAGCCATCCATGGTTGCACACTCCACCTGCTAAGCCAGTCTGGAACCTTGGGGTCTTGTTTGACCCTCAATATCCTTTCTACCCCACATCTGCGCCATGATCTGCTTTGCCTTCCCCCACCTCAGCAACATCGCCTGGCTCACACCACAGGCCGCCAAAATCCTCATACACGCCTTCATTACATTGAAGTTTGACTATGCAAACTCATTGCATGTCGTTCTTCCTAACTCCTCCCTGCACAGGCTGCAGATCATCCAAAACTTCGACTGTGTTTTCGATCTTGCTACCCCCACCTGCATCTGCACTGTCTGATTCAACTATTGCTTCATACAGCAAATTCCAGTCTCACTACTCTGTGCGAAGTCTTAAATTCTCTTTTGGATCCCCGGTTGCTATTTTATATTTGTGTCCCCTGGTTAGGGATTCACCAACCAGTCGAAACAGTCTATTTATACTAACCTTATTTGAGCCCTTTTATAATTTTAAACATCTCTATTAGGGCTCCTCTTAAATATTTTCTTTTAATGAAATTATACTGTTTAAGATGCTGTAGTTCTTAAATGGATTGCTTAATAAGGTATTTCAATGTACAA